TTTCATCAGGGTCTGTGATCAAAGCTTCCAGTTCCTCTGCAGTGCTCACCTCCTGCGCACAGCCATAAGCAGGGATAGGGGGACCAGGTGGAGGCTTGGCCAGGGATCCAGCTTTGTCCCCTGGTTGCCTCAGCTCCATGGCCCTTCTCCAGTACCTCATCGCCCCCAAGAGGTCCCGCTTTTTGTCCACAAAAGTCGCCCCAAGGAGTTCAAGTGCATCTATGCGTTCCTCCCTGGAAGTGCGAGGCTGGTGGGCGAGGTACTCTACGATGTTGGTGTGTCCTGTGACACTGGCAGCGAGGAGTGGGGTCATGCCGTATCCATCTCTCTCCATGCGAGCATTGCACTTCAGCAGCATCTTCATAATGTCCAGACTACCTGACTCGGCACAGTCGTGGAGGGCGGTGTTTCCCTTCACGCTCTTGCGGTTGACATCAGCACCCCGGTCCAGGAGGAACTTGGCTATCTCCTTGTGGCCCTTGTAACAGGAGATCATGAGGCAGGTGTGGCCGTGGCGGTTGGCTACCTCCATGTCGGCTCTGTGCTCCACCAGGTAGCGGACGATCTCCAGGTGACCGTCGAAGCAGGCAGCTCGGAGCGGCGTTGAGTTAGTTAGCGTTGCGTTGTTGACTGAGGCACCGTGTTTCAGTAAGGTCTTCACCACGGGGAGGTGACCGGCTGCCGACGCCGCCCACAGCGGCGGAGCCCCCTCGATGGTCTCGCCGTCAAAGTTAACCGCCCCCCCGAGTTCAACATTTGCTTTACAATGTTCAAGGAGGTAATCTACAACCTCTAAATGTCCGTACCGAGAGGCTATCAGCAGAGGGGTGCCACCCTGCGTCTTCTCCTCGGCCAAAGCCTCCAGCTCCTCAGGAGTTTTGTTGCTCAGCAACTTCTGGATAAGTTTCAGCTTACCATCTCTGGCCGCGTTGAAAACCGCCGTCGTTATATCCATTTTACAGGCTCTGAGCTGCCGTGCTGGACTCCAACCCCATTACCACTCGTTTGTGGAAGAACTGTCGAGTGTGTTTTTAAAAAGCAGAGGGCAGGAATCTTAGTTTGGACTCGGTTTCTAGCTCACATCTTTCTGCCATTTTGAGGGTGCTGTCAAGATGGCGTTTGTGTTGTTTGACAGGTCTATGTTTACGATTGCAGCGAGGCATTGTGGGTGACGTAGTTTTGATGGAATTCCCCGTTTCAAGAGCAGAAGGCGTTTTTGCTGTATAAAGGACTCTATTACCCATGATGCATGCGATTTAAATGACCTACCAGCTGATGGGTTCGTTTGTTATGGTGGTTGGAAGAAAAAAGAGCACCGCCTCCCGTAGACGGAGAGGGCCAGCTGATGCCCGTCTCACAAACCAAGTAGACCCGCAGACAGAGTGCTGATTTAAATGGTGGGTGGATTCAGCACTGTGGGAACCTGTGCCTTACACTGTACTAATAGAAATGTGGTATCCTGCATAATAACGTGTGGTTACCAGTGTTGGGCCAGTTACTCAAAAAAATGTATATGTATTACTCATTACTCATTACTCTTTTGAAAAAGTAATATTATTACTTTACTTATTACTCCCTGCCAACAGTAATTAGTTACACTGCTAGTTATATTACTTCTGCTACTCCCCACAATATTGGTATTTGTGTCCCTCCTTTCCAAAGTTCAGATTTACGATGATTAAAATCCAGTTTTGTCAGTTCAAATATTTTAAGTTTTTCCATCTTCCAAACTAGTTTCCTCCACGATTACAAAAATGAATCCAAGGATGTGATTGGATTGTTGGATTTCTAATTAGCAGAGGGTGACAACAAAAGTAATATTGTAACTAATCATTTCTTTGGAGGAGTAACTGTAATATTATTACTGAATTGTATTAGTGATTAGTTACACTACTAGTTACTGGGAAAAGTAATATTAATACTGTAATTTGATTACTAGTAATGAGTTACTGCCCAACACAGGTGGTTACTAAGAAATTAATTCACAAATATGTTTTTAGAGCTATTTTATTGACTCTGGTGTTATCCCATTAAGACATTTATATATATATATATATATATATATATATATATATATATATATATATATTCACAAAGGACCAGAAAAGAGTGTCTTTGTAAGGCCTTTTAAAGCCTATTAAAAAAGAATACCAACTATAATTTCAGATCATCGGTTTCACTCTAAATCAAAACAGGCTAAAAAAATAATCAACACAGTCAGATGACAGTAACCTGAATCTCCTACATTGTAAGCAAACATCGTCTGCTGCCAGCAGCATCAGACCTCTGCAGTCATGTCACATTAATAGGGTGGTGAATAACCAGGAGGCTGAACCTGCTCCACCTTTAAAACAGTGTTGTAATAATTAATTTTGTTTCGCTGATGGCTGAGTTAAACACCCTTAATTGTTTTGAGGAGATCACATTACTTTATTATCCCTAGCCAGAATATGGACTTGAATATTGACATCCATGATGCTGTATAAGTGAACACCAGCACCTTACATTCAGTGGAATGTGGATATCGACTCTTCTGTCTGTGTCTCTCCGCAGTATGAAAAATCATCTACCTACTTTCATATGCATGAATGCAGTGTGGCATGCAGCATATTGCAGCTGTTGATGAGAGCTGAGCGGCGAAGAGGGATTAGACTTTCTTATAAATTCATAGAATAAGTTCACGTCTGAGGATTTGAGTACTGGTGTAATGACATGACACCTGCTTGCCGACAGCATCACAAAGTCATCTTCAGTTTTTTGTCAAACTAAAAGATGGAGTGGAAACAAAAAAACATCATTAAATAATATTTCTTTCATGTTCTTTTTTAGAGAATATACAGTATTTATTTTGAATACAAATTAAAGCTTTGAGTAGTGGTCATGGCACAAAGTAAATTCAGGAAACATCAGACTACTGTGTCAGAATTATTACCTTGCTGGCAGCCAGATGGTGTGATATTTCTTTGTCAAAAAGCAGTAATTGTTGCTTATGAATGAATAACACATTTAAAAGTGCCTGGGTGGCTTCTCAAGCTTAACTTTGACAAAGTCACTCATTCATCTCTGTCAGTATCACAAAGAGAGCTGCCCTGGGTGTTAAAATTCTGCTAAAAATGTGGTATATAAAATATTAAACTGAAGTCATCTAATGACACAGTACTACACTGCTGTATGTTTTTAAAGCTGCTGAAAGTTGACCAACCAATGGATTTTGATTATAAAATTTGAGAAATATTCATAGAGTAGCATAGAGACTCTAAGGGGTGGCAAAAATATATGCTGATTTAATCACAAACAATCATATATATGAATATTTGCTTGGAAATGGAAGACAAATAAGAAATTAAACAAGTTAAGACATTTTAACTCAAACATTATTGTGGCACATAAAGGACTGAATAGAAATGTCTAACGTTGGAATTAGAAGTTAATAAAAATTATTTTTTCCAAAAACATCAACGTCTTTTTTCATTGAATTTAATCACTTATGTGCCCATAACAATATATTGCAATGCATCATTTGTTGATGATGATGATTTGCATTACATTAATGCACTCCCATTTCCTGTATAGTTTTGGGTCTTTCAATTCCTATCCTTATCTTTATTTATTTATATTTTAAAAAGTACTTTATTTTTGTGTGATTTTTATATTTTATGCACCAATGCACCAAGACAAATTCCTTGAATGTGTAAAAACTTACTTGGCAATAAACCTAATCCTGATTCTGATTTGTATTAAATTTTACAGCATTTGACACCAAGGGGAGGCAGCTACCAGCCCATTCCACCCCTCTAGAGCTGCCTCTGTGGGTGACATCAACTACTGAGCCCCACCCATTACAAATCACTTAGAGCACAGAGAAAAACATGACATAAATGTTTCAGTTAAATAATCACAACTGTTCTAACTTTGCCAGAAAATGTTGTTTTCATGTTGGACCCCATTACTAATACTAAAACACTGATTGCAAACATAACTTTTTAGGTAAAGTGTTAACAGGAAAACTGTTTAAAAATGCTGAATGGTTTACTTAAGAGAGATTATTAGACAATCACTCTTCAGTAAGTTTCCTTACCAAGCTACCACAGAGGCAAAAACGTATTTTTTTTCACCCGTGTTATCTTTTTGCTTTCAAGTCTGTGGGAAATTAATGTCCTTTAAGCACGCAGATGAATGTGTCCCACATGGGTGCTTGCTGCGACTTATTTCAGTACTTTATAAGCAAACGGAAATGACTGCAGATCACCCTACAGCATAAGCCAGAGTGTTATTAGAGTGTTTACATTTTTAATTAAAAGTATTTTTCTTTCCTTCTTAGGGTCATAGGAGGGTCTGTTCCAGTGTAAGTGGGTATAAGGCAGGAGACACCCAGGGCAGGTCAACAGTCAATTAAAAGCTGACAAAAAATGGACATGATGCTTCAAATTTAATAATATTTCTAGGGGATTGTGAAGCGTCATTCTGATGTTTCACCAGTAGAGGATGCATAAGATTCACACTTGAATAATGCTCTTACTCAGTGAGACCATCCCTGCATGCTTGACTGAACTATAGGTTGTGATTTATATTTCTTGTGGCCTACTCCCTCAGCACAAATGCATTTCCATTTATCATCCCAAGTATTGAACACATAAAGCAAGATATAACGTAGAGTTAAACTGTATCTAGAGCGGGAGAGTGTGCCACTATTTGTTTCAGGAGAGTGATTGAGCCATGATTAAACCTCCTGTCGTCCTTAATAACTATTTGAAACTCACTGGAGGAGAGCTGAGTAGCAAGCATGTTTTTAAAATTAAACGGGGAGTTTGAATGCACACAGAGACAATATTGCATGCAGAGATCCAGTATTAAAAGCCCCACAAATGACACCCAGCCTGTGTCTGTCTCAGAGGACCCAGCCTCTGAAATGGAAAGCTTGGGGGCGCAAACTAATCATTTCCTACTGCTTCTTCTTGGTGCTGAGGAATTATTAGAGGACAAAATCACAGAGACAAAGCTGCAGGTGGAAAAAGCATCAGGGAGAGTTTAGTGTTTTTATTTATAACATGTAACAAATGTCATATTAACATTACATCCACAAGCAATTCAAATCCCATTCCAAAATATAAATTCTTTCAAGTACACAGAGGCGTTGTTAATTTTCAACAGGAACAAGCAAAAACCCACATGTAATATCACGGCATTATTACAAAAATACAACTCCAGCTTAAACAAGATCATCATTGCATCACAGCTGATATGATACTGAGCCACATCACTATGCTCATTAGAGAAGGCAACACCTTTTGTAATTCAATACTTAAAGAGAAATACACAAACAAGGACAACAGCTCCACTGTCCACATTGCTAATATACTGGTAAGCATGTAAATAATTGACTGAGCTCTAGTGATGGGAACTTCATAAAATGGGATTTTTAATTCTACAGAAGCCTCTGTTTTTTTTTTTTTTTTTTTTGTCCATTAAGGAACATAACACATTGTGCAAGATACAGCTCTCGTGTCATCAACACGATCAGCTTGCTTTCACCTGCCCAGTATTTATCAGATCTGTGGAGTGGGATAGAAAGCTAGCCAGAGAAGAAAGGGCCCTCAAGATGTGGTGCTGCTTGTTTTCACTGAAGTCTTGACAGGGACTCCCTAGAGGCCTGAGAGCAGCTCACTGAGCAGCACCTCCCTTTCTCCTAGAAGCACGTCTCTCCTCAGACTGGTTCCTTTGTTCACTACCTTTATCTTCATGGCCAGACTCTTTACTTGTGCCTGGGGCAGCGCATCGAAAAAAAAGTCTTCATTGAACACTGGATTCCTGCTATTCTTGATGATGGTGCTCCTCTGTTTCTGCTGCTTGCCGGGGTTCAGGTAGAGTGCTACACAGCAGTTGATGCTTTTAAGGTCCGTCTGCCTGTCATACAGGGCCTCAGCTGCGAGCACGCGCACCCTCAGCCGAGCTGCATCAGGATCGTAGTGAGTGCTCAGCTTCAGTGTCCCCCCCTTGTGGAGGTTGATGGTGTGCTCGCGCTGCAGGAGGTCCGACGTGGTGCCCCTCAAGCCACTGCTTTTACATCCACGGAAGGCAGGAGACGGGGGGCAGCGCATACGTCGCCGCTGCATGTTAGGGCTGTTGTCTGCAGAGCTGCAGTCATCAGTGGAGAGAGAACTGTGGCGTGCCAGGGAACGCTTGGCACGAGACACCTTGAGGGAGAGAAAAAGCAACTGGTAAACATAAAGAAAAGAGCCTTGTGGTAAATAAACCAAGAAAAACACGTTTGTAACACTTTCATGAATAGCTTTATAACGACCGACCCATGCACAGAGACCCTTACAGAAACAGTCCCCACCTTGGCCTGTGTCTCCTGGGTAATGGAGCGTAACAGAGAGGCAGAGCGGGACAGGAGAGGGGAATTAAAGGGGGATGACTCTGCTGAGGAACAGGTGTCGCTCTCTCCACCACTAAAATAGCGGTAGGAGTTGGGGTCCGCTGGGGCCAGAAGAGTCCCCCCTTGGGAGCGCCTCTGGGAGTTCGGGGAGGTGAGAGGGCTGCTGGGGTCACTGTGGAACAGGCTCTCCTTGCGTCGGGTATGAGGAGACTCCACCAGGGTGGAAAACCCGTAGGACGTCTGAGCCTTGGGGACATATGGAAGAGACATTGCAGTCTGTGACTGGGGGTCTGCATTAGTATTAACGCTGACCCTGTCTGCAGATCCGGCACCTGGCTCGTCAGCACTCTCTATTTGGATGATGTGACGGTTGGCTGACTTCTGGAGATTGCGGGTGTCTCCTACCAGGCGGGAAAAGAGGCGAGGGCTGCAGGGGTTCTTGCTGCTCCGAGCCCTGGGACTCTGGCTGCAGATGGCATGGTCAGAGGAGGAGGGTCGCAGTGTGGAGCAGTGCTGAGGTTCTGGGGTGAGGGACTCATCTGGTGGGCAGCAGATAAGTTTTGGGGGGATGAAGAAGTCAGGTATCTTGTCTGGAGTGAGGACATTGGCATAAACAGAGACGGGAATGGCCTCTGTTGTCTGCGGGGGCTGGGATTGTGTCCCACTGCTCCGGAGCTTCTCCAGTAGCCACATGCCCACTCAGATGCCTCAGCTCACAGCTTCTCTGTTAACAGAAAAGTGATGCATGAAGAAGAGAGAGCACATCCAACCACAACAAACAAACAAAAATATACTGAATTACATATTTTTGTTGAGGTTTAATACATATTATCACCCATAAGACATAAACCTTAGACTAAACCTGTGCAGCTATTTACACCACAGCAGAAAAAATATTTCTTGGACCATGCAGCTCACCAATAATTGGTGAAGGAGAGGAGATGACATTAAAAGAGCGGCTAAAGCATCTCCAAAGAGCAATTTAATCAAACGTGAATTCACAGCGCAAACATAGTGAGATAAAAAAGAACCCTATAATACTCCTCTAAACGCTTCACATGAGCGCCTTTGAGATTTGTACCATTAACAAACAAATTCAACGTCTTTAACAAATCAAACTACTGCCATTTTCTCCTCATCAAAATCACTTTAAGTTATTGGAATTTCAATTATTCGATGAAATCCTTAAAATAAATGAGCCAAGACGAGTCTTAATAACTTTTTCCCCTCAAACAAAGCTGCATGAACGGCGGTCGCGCTGCGCATCTAACAGCAAATATAAACAAACCTGTTGGCAGTACAACTCTTTTTCCGTAGAAAAACTGATCGCCGGCGTGCGCTCCTCTGCAGCCTCTCCAAGCGCTCTGTGCGTAAAGGGTATTTTCCCGTCAGTTGAAGTGTGATCCAAAACGCTTGCCAGCAGTTAAAGGCTTCTAGATGAGGTACTCTCGCTTTATATGGTGGGGTCTCTGACTCCTGAGCCAATGAGAAGGTTGTGAAACCTTCCCATGATATTTACCATACAACTATTCCCTGCGCAGGCACGAGGGGGAAACAATCTAATTTGGATGCTGTTTTGTTTGATCACCCTCAAAGTGTTGCATGTTATGTGGGTTTTATCTCACGCCTCATTGAAATTTAAAGAGAGCGTCACAGGGATTTCATTTAGCATTCACGTGAGATCTGTTCTCTTATATATTGTTATCAGATAGTGCCTCTCCCCCTGTAACGCGCACGCCTTAATTGGACTTCCTGGTGTCAAACTGGTGAAGATGTGGATTGACAATATGCTGTGTGCACCATCTCAGCTCATTTACTTAATATATTATGAGGTGGAGTGGACAAAATAAAGTAAACACACCATGAGAAAGAAAACTGAAGTTTTATTATAGTCACAATAAGTTAAAAGTGCCATTAAACTTTTTCTTTATTCTGTAGTGCAGTGTGCTCATCTCTCACAAATTAGCCTATAAATCATCACAGCTTGCAGTGACTGGAACAAAGAGCTCACATCATGCCTGATGTCAAGTCACTATGCTTCCAGTTAGTCTTTGGATAGTTTCTTACATCCCGGTGTTTTTCCATAAATCTCCTCACAGACATGCCCCTGACTTTGATATATTGCTGGGATATGTCCACAGACTCTCTGCTGCTTGGTGTACCAAAACTCCGACAAAGTCCTGCAGCGAGGCTGCCTTCTGTAGTTTTGGACCCAGTCTCTGGAACAGTCTCCATGTTCATCTGTGGACAACAACATCAAATGAAGTGTTTTAATCCCCCCACTGAAAGCTCATTTTGTTAGTTAATATTGTGCCTTTATCTATAATGTGTATGCTACTTAAAACTGAAACAACAAGTCTTGATCAACAGAAAACTAATAGTCAATTATTTTGAGAATGGATTAACGGTTTAAGTTATTTTTCAAATGAAAATCCCAACACTTCCTTGTTACAGCTTTCTTAACTGTGAAGATGATTTTTCTTCTGACCTGACAGTATATCTGAGTATATCTGGGGTCTGGACTGTTAGTCAGACAGAATGAGCAAGTTGAAGATGAACTGCACTTTAATCACTTTAGAAAATTCAAAATACATTTTGAATGAAAATCATGTTACAAGTACAGTATGTGTGTGTGTGTGTGTGTGTGTGTGTGTGTGTGTGTGTGTACTCACTACCTTTCTATAATAGTAAGTAGTTCTAAGCAGATATAAGTCTTTATTAATGCATTTGACACATAGTAAAACACATTTGTAGTAGTATGAAATATGGAGATAAAGATACCTAAAATGATTGCTTATTGCTAACAACTATTATAGTGTGTAATCAACATTTTACTAAATGTTTGAATACTGCTTATAAATGCTAAATAGGGAATAAAGTGTTATTTAGTATTTTAAGTTGTTTGTTTTAATATCCATCACTTTGAGCTGCAACTCTTGTGTGAAATAAGACCTGACAGTCATTATTTATTTAAATTTTGAAAAATAACATTAGGCAGCCCAAATATGCTGTGCCTGGATGACAGATTTGATCACAAAAACGGCAAAGTTACATAATGTGGTAATGGGGGAAGTCTAAAAAAAAAAAATCATGATAACACACTGAAAAAGTGAACACATCCACAGCACTTTCTATTCATTTTAATGCAACGCCAGCTCAAAAAAAACCACAATGTAATGTGAGGACAGAGTCTGAGCACAGTAAAAGTAATATGGATTGATAAATTGTCTTTGTTTTCTATCTGGGCCAATTTCTGTTTAGAGAATGCATTCAACCCACAGTGTCTTTTGCCAGGTGTTAAACATGGAGGTGGATCTGTCATGGTATGAGCAGCCATCTCGTAGGAGTCATTTGGACCAGTCAATGTTCTGCAGTGTTTTAAAAACGGCCAACAAATGTGAAGCCATTTTACAGGACCAGTTGCTGGAAATTCTGTCCCTTCATGATAGATTTCAGGTTGGCGATCCCCCACACCCTGCTGCATTACTAATATTTGTAGAACTTGTTTTGTCCAATATTTATAGGTTTACTAAACTCTGCACATATGCTATAAAGGTCAGGTAAGAAATAGCAGAAATACACTATCTGTGTGTCCTCACATTACTATATATGATCTTTAAACTGCTGTTTACTTTCATACAGTTAAAGACATATGGATTGGCTGTGTTTTGTTTGGCTCTCTGATATTCTGGTATTTGCATGCTTATTTCTCCTTGCGGTTTGAATCTGAAATGCTTGGCTGGAAGCACACAAGCTCTCTATGGATGTGTACAATTCTACTGCATATAGCAGCATACTACAGAGATTGCATGTCACACAGTGTCTTGGTCTTGAAAAAGTAATCCATTACATTATTGTTCCCTTTCATTTATTTCCATTTTCTTTCCCTTTTGGTTAAAATGTTTTTCTTCCATAATCAGTAAAGCAACAAGCTGTCTAATTAAAGCATTTTTCTTTAACCTTATTTAGGGGTAGTTTTACTGAGAGTTCTGTTCTGTTCTTCAGAAACACTGCAAAAACAAAAAACAACAAAAAAAACCAAACATTTATCTAAAGAAGAAGAAGATGTGAAACTCCCATGTGCCACAGCCAATCTAATTGAGTGTAAGTGGCTCACATGCAGGTGTGTGAACCTGAAAGACAAATACGGAAGAATATATTTGGCTTTAATTGCTGCCAACAATGGCTCTACAAAGACCTAAATAAACATGTAAAATCCTTATGAAAATGAGATTCATTCATGCTATTTGTCTGAAAATAGACTGTAGTCAATTATAGATTAGTGATGAACCATTAGATTAGTACATCAGGGGTATGATTCATCCACTGGACTAGCCATCCATTTAGACACTCGACCAGTCGACTCCTAGAGGGATGCTTTCTTTTCTTTTTTTGTGCCCATACACCAACTACATAAATTGACTGCAATAAGACTAAAAGTCTATAGTCAGCAAAATTGGAAAATTACAGAGTAGAGAGAACAAGAAATCCAGTTTTTGCATGTAATTAGATTCATATTTATATTTTTTTTATAACCACTAAAACCACAAATGCATTTGTGATAACTAAAATAATATTATGTAAAATATCAAAGGGGATTCAACATATTCCATCTGGTGCAGTTAAACCGTTAAACAAAATATTTTATTACGTTTTGAAGCAAATATTACATCCATTTACAGATAAATATTTTTCTGATTAGCACTGACATTTTACTATATTTCACATGTAATTAAGGAACATTAATCTTGTTTTTCTAATAACCACTGTTCTCTTATTACAGGAATAATGAAAGGCTGTGTCTGCTTATGTCTTAAAGCTGCACCAATCAAAACATTTATTTTAACAGTGGATCAAATGACAATAATGTGAAAGGGGTCGCTCATAGTGACAAAGCCACAGAGATTTTTTTGTAAACTCTATTGTCCCCCTGCTCTGCCCTGTGGTTTAACCTCTTTCAACTAATTGATTTGGTTGTCCAACCTGTACCAACTGTGCACTACTTACAGAGCAGCAGCAGACTGTAAGAAATATAATAATTAAAGTGCAAAGTGCTATGGTACTGGATTATTTATTTAAGATTTAGGATTAGAGTATGTGAATCCTTTTAAAGGTGTTTTCTCATTTAAAAAATAAACAAAAAAACAAACAAAAGCATTTTCCATTTTCCATATTATTAGTTTCCACATCAAACTGTCAGATATGGAAAGTGCCACAGAGTATACCTCTGATGTAAATGTGGTGTAAATGTGTAAACTTGATGATTACAATGTATTTAGCTGATTACACAATGATTATGCATTTACTACATCATCATTATTTCATGCATCTCATGTCAACATCATTTAAAAACATCTTACACATGAACATAATAAATCCACAACATATGAACATGTCTACTCTTACATGCAGGCAAACACACACACAGACACACACAGACACACACACACAGACACACACACACACACACACACACACACACACACACACACACACACACACACACACACACACAAGCAGGGTAATTAATTGGACCAAAGCTGGTGTGCTTCGGTCTAAAATGAGGTCTTCCACACTCTGATTATTCCCACAACCTCTCCAGCTCAACCTACAGGATCGAACACACCATGTCTTGCTCTAATTAAGTCTCTGCTGTAGGCCATCTACAGTACCTACAGTAACTATCTATATCGACACATGTAGCCATGCTCATCACTTCAGCTGACCACCAGCTGATCCAATAATGAACAAGAATGTTAGATATGTGAGAAATGTGTGCTATTTCTACTGCTAACTTTCATCTCTGCAGTTCCTACGGGCCACATGCTGACTGGTTTTGTTTCTTTGTTCTACCTGCTGCAACCTGTTGCTGACTGTTTCCATGGTCCATGGTTTTGACTGTGTATAAGAAGTACAACAACTATTTGATAGATTGCTATGGGATTTGGTCCATTAATTGTGCCCAGAGGATGAATCCTAATGACTTTGGTTCTGAGTAAAATATCTCAACAACAATTGGATAGATTCCTAGGAAATTTGCTACAGAAATTCATGTCCCCCTGCTGATGAATTGTACTTAGCTTCTTTACTAGCGACGTCATCAAGTCGAGATTTAAAGGTCCAGTGTGTAAGATTTAGTGGCAGATTGCAACTCGCTCACTTCACCCTCCGTTTCCAAGCATGAGGGAGAGACTACGGTGGCCTCAAAACATGCACACACCAAAAAAAAAAAAAAAAAAAAAAACCCTATCTAGAGCCAGTGTTTGGTTTGTGCGTTCCAGGCTACTGTATTCAAAAAAATGAAACATTGACTTTAATTAAATTTATTTTGTCAACAGGTTCCATGAAATTGTATTAAGTTAGTTAAGAGTAAAAATGTTATGGTCATCTAACTCAATGAAATAGTATTATAGTAACACAATCATTGTGAGTTGAACCAACTAAAAACAGACTACATATTTTACCTTTGTCCTTTCAACATATATTTTATTTTTAGTACTAAAAAAATTAATTTAAGTTCAATTAATTCAATCATTAGGTTTTTATCCAATGCACTTTTTACTAATTAGTTTGACATAATTCTAGTTTGTCAACAGGTTCCACACAAATTAATTAGGTACACCCAACATATTTCTGTCATTTCCTTTATTCACCAACAGAGCACTGATTTAATTAACATTTTGCTGCACTTGGTCAGAAAATAAACCAATACAGTAACATTTCTGGCACCCTAAGCGTTATGCAGATTAACTGACTAAATGAATTGCCCACTACTTACATTTCTCAATCGTTTGAAAAGGTGCTAAATTCTCTGGTTCCAGTTTCTTAAATGTGCATATTTTCTGGGTTCTGTAGTCATGTATGTCAGTACACTAAATATATTTGGGTTGTGGTCTGTCGACATATGAATCGACAGTGGAAACAATTGCTAGTGCAGCCCTACATAAAATAAACCATGCCATTATTAAACCAACACAAACAACAAAACATCAGTTTATTTGTCAGAATTATGGTCTATAGCTGTAACTGACAATTTTCTTTACTGATTAATCTGTTGATAATTTTCTCGAATCAATTAGTTGTTTGGCCAACAAATTGTAAGAAAGTTGTGAAAAATGTTCACTGCCATTTCCCAAAGCCCAAGGTGACATTCTCAGATGTCTTGTTCGGTCCCAAAGATATTGAGATTACTGTCATAGAGGACTACCAAAACCAGAAAATATTCACATAAGCTTAAATCAGAGAATTTAGACATTTTTAAAGAATTAATCATCACAAAATAGCTGTATATTAATATAATAGTTGACAACTAATCGATTCCACTAATTTAATTGTTGCTCTATTATAGTCTAAAAATACAACAGGTTTGAAGTTTTCCAATTTTTCTGAAACAAGTCTAACTATCTAACAACACATGTGCTGCTGTCAACATTGATTTTGTGGGGCGGGGGGCACAAAAAATGTGTCAACTTGTGTTGCAAAATTGTCTTCATGTATTGTTTGTTTTTTAAGTTCTGGGCATATGGAAGACAGTCTGACACTTCTTTGCACTTGTTTTTGGTGAAGCTTGGTGTTAAAAGTCCACAAAATATCCATCAGCTGTTAACAACTGAGCGTTTGTACCTTGGTTGAGAGTCTGTGAGAATCCACTTGAAGGAAGAACTTTCTGAAGAACTTGAAAGAAGGCTTTTAGTTCCTTTGGAGAACAGGTTCAGTGCATATATTACACCCATTAAGAGTTCTCATGCAGAGGTGACATCTCCAAAGTCACGCAGAATTTCAACACCCTCGATCACAATTCCAACATTGGCTGAAGGAGTGGCAGCATCACCTCCCCCATATGATGCTGTAGGTACCAAGGATAACTTGTTGAAGGTCCCTCTAAACAGACGTAGCATCTGAATCATCCACATAGGAGAGAAAGAAAGAACAAAACCAAACTATGAATTAACAAACAGATTTTGCTTAATTCCAAATAGTAACTTGCATTTCCGGTTTCTCTCACATAATAATTTAATGAAAATAGCATGATACTTCAAACAGAGCTATGTGTATAAAAGTGTATACACATAAGTAGTGTTGGATAATTTTATCAAAATTATAAAAGATATGATTTTATATTATTAATTATACACTCTCCAAGCACTTTATTAGGAACACATGTGTAATCTAATGCAATCCAATCCAATTAATTTTTTACTATTACTAACCTTAGAAAATGTTCAGTTTCACGTTGTGTCAACAAGTAAATAGTTACAAAATACAAAATATTAAGTTCTTGGGGTAGACACAATATTAGGAACACATTTCAGTACAATACACTTTCGGTACACATTCAGTACACCACCAGCACACACTACAACCTCAGTAATAAACTAATAAACTAAGTAACAAGAGTAGTAGTAGAAGTAGTAGACTCAAATTACTAACCAGGTGTTCTTTGAAAAGGACATTCGGGTCTTCAACAGTTTCATTCTAAAGAGAGACAGAAAAAAAAAAGAAATACTTTAGGACTGCAAACATATACACCTCACATTGCTATAAGGATGTGAAATGGATGACATTTCAAGTGTAGAGATAGACATGTGCATGACCAACCAACATCCACATGGACATTAATGGTTACCTTGTCACACAGGTAACAACCACTTTAACTAGTAAAGCATATTGCTTCTTTGTATTAATATCTCTATAGTCATTAGGTCGCATTCACAGATCTGATTTGTTTCTAACTGTTTGCTAGTCCCTATACCTGTCAAAATAGAATAGTCAATGTCAACTTGTAATATTTTCTACCAATAGCAAAACATACATTAAATTACATATTACACAAAATTATGAACATTTCCATATGCAACTGGAGTTCTGTGAGCCATTACAACTCTTCCACATACACTGTTATGCATCAAATGACAAAAAAAAAACTCTGCCACAGTGAACAGTCCTGGCAAGATTGAACCTGTGATCGTGGGATTGCCTTTGATGTTGTCTCTCTTATATGCAAAGGTTCTGGCCATCTTCTTATGTCTCCTATTGATCCCAAATAACAATTCCATGGTCTCTGGACTGCAACCTTTACAGTGCAACATTCAAATTTGGAAAAAACAACAAAGGAATATCAGTAAAGGAAACATAACTAAAAAACCGTTTGTTTTTTTAATAGAAAAGTCTGACTTATTATTATACCACAGGCAAGCTCAGCAGTGCTGCCCACACCACATCAAAGAAGATGGGAGCAAATAAAGGATATCACAACCTGGATCTGAAATTCAACATGTTAACGGGAGCAATTAACTAACAAAATCCATTGCTTGCTTTTAAGAGAACTAGAGATCTACAAATAAGCTATTCAGAACAAGAACAAGAGAATTAACCAATCATCTAATAAATGTTTCTGAAACCAAAATACTGATACCCAATACACAGTAGTTAAGTAGCTAATTTTGATCATACCTGTTATGAGTAAAGCACTTTGGTCAGACAGCTGGGAGCATGAATCGTCAACGAACCATCTTTTAAGACCTGAAATATTGCAACATTATGGTTAAAAAAGAGATAGAAAATAAACAAACAGTTATTTGTAGAATTTTTATTATTACCATGACTTCCATGCACTCAACCGAAACAAAGATTACATAAAATAATATAAAAAAACATTTCATAGTCTAAATAAACATGCAAAGTAAATTTTCAAATTCACCACAAATAGGTGGATGGTTCCTGCCCTACTGCTTTGAAATAGCACAAGAGTCACAGTTAAGGGAGGGAAAAAGAGGCACATTGCAGTTTGTAATATGTAGCATTACATTAGCTTAAACCCCATATCTGCTCTAAAATAAGACAGGTCTTTTGATAATAATAATAATAATAATAATAATAGTTACTGAAAGGCTGTGTGTTGTGTTTGCTATTACAGTAAAGAAATAAAAAGTCTGTTTATTTAAAATTAACGTTACTACTACAGTATCTTCTTGTGCTGTTCACAGCTGAGTTGAATCAGGTTAAAGACAATTAAAATAGTCTAAAGTGGAGGTAAAACGTTCCGAAGGAGCAGAGCTAGAAGCCGCACACAATCAGATGATTTATGGCATTTTCTCTTGTGATTTTAACCGGACATAAATAATAACTAGCGTTCCACAGTGAAGCACTAATTCAAGTTCATAACTACAAACGTAACGTATTGGCCAAATATAAGCAAACTCAATTATAAGACTTGAGCACAATGTGAGTTTGTGACGTTATATCAAGCCTACAGGTACTTTATTACCGGTGCTTTATTTAAGTACGGGTAACGTTACCGTTACACTGACTGCTAACCGACCGGTTTTTACTCACATGCAAACACCTAAGTTACCTAACGTTAAGCATTTCCTGTACCTGCTTCACAATAAAAGCCTCCCGCTAGTTCGCCAATGGAAAAGCTTTTGAAGCAGCAGCAGGAGGATGGTGGGTTGTATTAGCAGTACCTTCAATAGCTCGGAAACGACAGACAGGGATCGGTTATCTTCCTGTAAAATAAGCCTGATATCTCAAAGTAACGTTAAAGTAAACACAGACATATAAAACAGAGCTTTCTCTGTGGTCACCATGACAGCGCAGTTCGTTGTTGAACTGCCGGTAAACAGCATTACCTGCAGAGAGTAACGTAACTAGACGTCCATAGACTGAATATAAAGTTATATAACGGTATTCAGTCTATGGACGTTATTCTCTGCAGGGTTAGGGTTAGGGTTAGCAGTAACTACGTTACTTATCGACTGGTCTAAGTTTCCCTTTTGAATGTTCCTGATTGTGAACATTGATCCAGAGAGGTCAAAGCGTCAGCCATGATAGAGCCTTAGCTCTTAAATTACTCCCCCTTCATATCTGAAAGCAGTGAATCTGTTCTTTCTTGAAGAATGGCTGTATCCTACAATTAACATTACGCACATTTAGCAATCTGAGAGGAATTAAAGCTGCTCTGGAGAGTTCGGGTGTCTGCACTACTTAATATTGACATTATGAAGAACTGTTATGTTGTGGTCATTCACTACACTGCTTGGTTGATTTCATGTAGTTACTGTGTTTGTCATGTGTTTTAACATTTCCTGAATGTGCAACATTTAAGTAAAAATTTCTGTCTCCATGTTTTCCTGTAATATAAATCTGACTTACAGACACACTGTGATTGGTTGAACGGTGTTGCTATGATCTCTGATCCGTTCTACATCTAAAAATACTCAATGCCTCAACAAACAACACTGTGTCTCTATTATCTTAAAGTGACACTGCCATTCGATATTTTTAAAATTCAATATGCTCAACTAGAATGACTCTACACGTCATCCTCTGATGTTACTGGTGGAAATATAAGAAAAACAAGAAAAATAAAAGAAATCCAGGAAAGTACATCACGTCATTCATCTATAAAGTCAAAGTACTGTTATTTCCTTAGTCACAGAAGAGCAAAGGTAGTCTATAAACACAACCCAGTATGCAGAAATGTTGGAGCATTTCAGCAGCATTACATTCATTAGTGTGTATTCACCACTGGATGTTCTTTGGCTATTATTATTATGGGCCTTATAGGCTAAAATTTAATTTGCATCACAGAGAAAATATCTTCCCCGTCTGCTCATTTTAGCTCAATTTTTTTTGTACAGTATGTGCCCAAAGTACAATGGGAGCCAAGGGACATATTGATTTCTGTACTCATTACGTGCAATTCATCTCTGAGAAACAGTACTGAAAACCTAAAATAAATGTCAAGTGAAATGTCACAGGGATTATTGCCACTACATTACTCTGCTCCTGTCAGGTATTTTAGAGCATTTCTATTTTATGAGCTATATAAATATACTTTCCATATTTCACTTGTCCCAGAACAGCTGATATTGACCCAACTAAAATGCAGAAATTCACTGGCTTTACTAATTCTGACCACAGTTTTCATGTGTTCCCCTCCAAGTTCTAATCTGTTCAAAATCAAATAGACTTAATTTAGAATATTATAAATTAATGTAATCTGTGTATATAGTGTAGATGTATGCCACACAGATGTATTTAATAAGTGAATTGCAGGTCGACTTTAACTTTAAAAGGGAGCTGCGTGAAGTCTGATAAAACATTGACGGTGGCTAAAGACTACAAGTTTGAGAAAGAAAAGCATTTGGCGGGATGGAGTTAGAAAGACTTGAGCTTGCAGACCTCTATAACCCCCAGGCCGAAATTTTGATTTCAGAGGTGGGGGGACACGTCCATGCACACATACACACACGCACTCACGCGCGCACATACGCACATGGACACCGAGTCAAACGTTAATGTAAATGCACCTCTGATATTACAATCCTTCTAGCTGACGTGACCCAGGCAGAACAAACGCCCAATTTACAGTGGCACATTAATAAGGACTCCTGGGCAACTAGCAGACCAGTGTGCAAGCAAGATGGAGTGACAGCGGGGACGGCCAATCACACAAGAAACGGCAGAGCCAATCGAGGAGCTTGTGGGCAGTCTAAACTAAGGGCGTTTTCACATATACCTCATTTGGTCCGGACCTTCGGACTTTTCAGTTTGGTCCGAACCAAAATTGTAGGTGAGAAAGGTGCCACGGACCACGGTCCGGATCAAAAGACCAAAATTTGGTCCAAACTAAAGAGGTGGTCTCGGTCCGGATCATGGTTCGGTTCGTTTACAGTATAAAAACACTTTTCGGATGGTTCGGACTTTCGGACCAATTACAGGAAGTTAGCATACATACCATAGAAGAAGAAGTAAAAAAAAACGGAAGAAAACCCCCGCCAGAACAAGCAAAAGTGAGTCGTGGAAGTACGTGGGGAGAGGAGGAGATTATATGTTTAATTTCAATTTGGTCAGATGAAAACATTAAAAGTCAGTTAGAAAACACTCACAAAAATGCCGACATTTACAGGGGCACACGTAAGTGGTGACGACACGCCGTAGGTATGTCATGGAAAGTTCTTTAGTGCGCTAGCAAAATTACTATGTGAAACCGAAAATAACGGGATAAAATGTATACAATGTAATTAAACACGAACGTTGTCCGGACTTTTAGGTGTGAAAACGCCCTAAGGGAAACAGGTTTGAGCGGCCGTTTTCCGCTGGTCCTAGTGCTTGAGGTGTCTCTGTTTACTATAGCGTAACATTGTTTATGGACGGTTAAAACTGCAGGGGACCAAAAACGGATTTTTGAAAAGTGCAGGGGACATGTCCCCTGTGTCCCCCCACCAAATTACATCCATGTGTAGCCCACTCCTCATCTCTGCATGAAGCCAGCAGCTCAAGGCTTCATCAGCTGCTACTAGCATAACACACCCAATTCACAGACTGAACTGTTGGCTGCCGAGTTGCATTGAGGGTAATGTTGGCACCAGGTTTTGATAAGAAAGAGTTAGTGGTTAGTAGTAAAGAATACATAGAATAAAAAAGACACTATCTCAAGTTCTGCTACATTTTTTAAAAACTGACATTATCATCATTAATAATATTTTAATGCTAAATCTGTGGAGTGCTCTTTTAACATTAGAGTGTTTCACATCTGCATACATACGCAGGGGGGATGAGGAGGGATCCCATCCCCCCTGCTAGCAAAATGACCAATCCCCTTGTTAACCTGCCATGGGGAGGGGCCCATCCTCTAGTGTGTGGGGGCAAAGGGTTGTTTAGTTGAATATGCCAGTCTTGTCTGCCTGACTCGTTGAGCCTTTATCTGACTGAGGTTTGTGCAAGTTAGAATCTATGGCCCCGACCATGGCTCCGAAATGTCAGTACTCTAACTGTGTATTGATAAATCCATGGCGTTGTCCATGGTGCTGAAGAGCGAGAGGATCATAGAGACACACTGCTGCCTGTAATGTAATATTTCTATGATCATTAATGTCTGTGCTGCTGAAAATACACCCCACACAAGCCCCCTCTGTTACTAAATAAGGAGACATGACCACAGATATAGTTTTTACTATAGGGTTACCACACTGTAATTAAGAAATACCCTACTGAGATTTTTGCACCTTGTCTGCTTTTACCAACATCTTTTCTTCCTCAAGTATTGTTT